AAAATATCCATCTTTCTCATATATGTATATGCCAGGCAAGCTCTGGCAGCTGAACAGCTCTTCATTTACCTGTCATTTTTAGGGTGGTTGCTGATGTTGTCTTTGACACTTCTCCATCTTGTCTTTAATGCTTTAATTGCAAAACATAAAATTAATCATTTTTGTTTAATTCTAGGTACTTTGCAACTGGTCATTCACTTGCTAGTTTTCATTTCAAGTTTCTGAAGAGGAAATCAATGGCACGCTATATTGTATTGGACACCTACTCGATCATATGTAATGTAAGGATGTGGTCTTCCAGAAACCAACAGCAAAAAAAAAAAAATGCTCCCAGATAGCTAATATTTTCTGGGGAGCATTTTAATTTCCCCAATTATGTGGGAGCAATTGATGAGGACACATATGTATAATTAAGAAAGTTGCTAGAGGCAGCATTTTTTTAATTATAAAAATATCTCTAATTTGTTATATTTACAGTGGCTAATGCAAATTATCGTTTTAGTTATAAAGACTTGGGGTGCTATAGGAGCAGCACTGACTCCAGTATTTTTGCACACTCTTCATTTGGACAACTACTGCAAGAAAATGTATTGGGCCTGCCAGAGAATTGTCCACTACCAAGAACAAGCTGTGTTCTATCATTTTCTTTGTAGGAGAATGAGGCTTTTACCCTTGACAAGCACCCGCTAAGGCCCTTTTTAGCCACTCACTGAATGTAGAGAAAAGGGTTTTTAAATGATTGCCTTACCAGGGCATGTATAGTTGTGGAGTGTACATATGGCATCCTTTCCAATAAATGGCATTTGTTGTACTCTCCCATCCACCTAAACATGCAGCATACTATCACTGCAGTTAAAATAACATGTGCCCTGCACAACTTTGTTCATGAACACAATGGATTCCAGTTTGAAGACACACTTAACCACCACATTTTCAGGGCAGAATTTACAGCAACTGAGCACCTTGGGGAAGAAGGAGTGGTGACTATATCCAGGATGAATTCACACCCTTCCTTATATCTCCCACAGGTCAGCTGCCATGGCAGCTTTATGCTGTTGCACAATGTTTGAAAATAATAAAGGTTTTCTGTGTACTCCCATACACTGTATTTCTGTTATGTTGTTTAATAAAATTTGATTCCAACGGTAAGTACAATAAATATGTAAAAAAAAAAAGCCAAAGGTTGTAAGATGATGAATTCCTGAGCTGCATCTGGGCTGTTATTAGTCATCAGACTCGCTGACACTCAACCCTTTGCCATGTGAACACTGCAATAGCAATGACCTACGCTGACCATAGATGGAATAAAATGTGACCTGTTAAGCAAGGACCTTTTGAATTTCAATTAATCTATGGCTTTTGAAGAACTTGCATGCAATCAGTGTCTTCAATTATCTGCAACACTGATAAGTGAATTTTGACAGAAGAGGAGCCCCTGCTGTCAACATACAACTGCACAATAGGGAGATTTCCTCCACCCACCTCACTTGTGTAGATGGGGGAATCCATTAATTTTTTTTCGATCAGCCCTCTGACTGATAAAAAAAAAAAATGAATCATCTATGACCAGCCTTGCTTCTTTTCCCTTCATGTGATAAGACTAGTTCTTGGTGATTGGCTCAGCACTGTCACATTGGGTAGGGAGTCTTCAGTTTTGTGTAAACTCCAACTAGTAACCTTGAGCTTACATAGAGCTTTCCAGTAGCGGAAATGAGTGATGATGGAGTGAAGGAAAAAAATTGCTATGAAGAGGAGCAAAGCAATAGAGTGAAAAAACTTTAAAATTCCATAGGCATGCCAAAATTGCACATGTGCTGTATGAAGCAATAAGATATTCTATGCAGCAAATGGGAGCATGATAGGCTAGAATTTAGTCAGGGCTTCACCAGCCTTAAAAATACACAGCACATATTTGTTTCTGTTCTTAGAAACAACCTACTCTTTCTTCTTATTTCAGTCAACCATGGAGGGGTCTTAAAAGTAAACAACTTCTTGGAAGAGTATGTCTACCAAAAGGTTCTTTCATTTTTATATATATATAACTATTCCTTTACAGCCCCCTTCCCAGGCTGGAGATGGTAGGAGGACAAACTGTGTCCTACATGAGCACAAAATGTACAGTGTGCTGTGCCCTGTTTCACAGGAACTTGACTTATTGTTCTTAAAGGGAATTTCCATTTTTAAAACTGATTAGCTGCTTTTAGACCCCCTCATACAAGATTATTATAAGGGACACCTACAGCTGATCAGGTGTTATAATGAAATGCAACTCTAGCCATTATGGTCTTTTAAAATAACTTGCTCCCTGCTTCCTGCTCCCTGCTTAAGTTAAAGTAGTGGTGAGGCGTTGCTGAGAAAGTAGTTTCAGGTAATTATATTTTTTGTCATTTTTCTACTAAAATATTAACCAAATGACAGTTACTAAAAAAATCTTTCTGTGCCTTTATCTTTTTAATGGTTATATCAGCAAATGTACTGCTAGTGTTGCAACAGTATACAGTAAAAAATTCTACCTTTCTTTTCTTCATATATTTAATTGTTTTAAGTCTTGTTTAACCTGATACATTACATTATTACAGTACCTGTTCATTTCTCTGATCATTTACTCATAAAAAAAAAAAAAAAATTAGTTGTCGTTATTTACTAGCTCAGTTAAAGAAAAACCCTGCAATGTTCAACTGTCCTTTATCATAGGAAGTCATTTGTAACTGGCACTGAAAATATATCACAAATTTGAGTCTGTAGGTTGCTAGAGTGGGAATGGAAACAATCTGGTGGTTTCTGCACTTCGAAGTAGCGAATCCAATTTTGTTGCCACTATGCTGTCATGGTCATCACAACTAATTAGCAGCATGAGTCTTTCAATTTTTTATTTGGTTTATCTTTGCTAGTGGCTATTAAGTCAGAAGGGGAAAGAGAAAATGTGAGGAAAGTATTTGTGTGGGTTGATGTTCCGTTTTCCATAATTTTTTTAATTTAAATACAACTATAAACCTCAAGCACTGCTTAAAATTATAAAGTTATGTTTAAGGCACATCTGTGACCTTTAGTCAAATACTTACAGTCTTACTGAACAACTTACAGAAAAATAATGTGAACAAGGATTCACATAACTAAAATCTTGATGAGTCTGATTGGTCTAAGACATCTTCCTCCATTGGTTACATTTGAATAATGTTAGTAATTATTATCCTCTGTGCTTCTCTGTTTACCATAGAAGTACTGATCTATTTGTCCTTGTGATTGCTTTGAAGTGTATTGACTGTTTGTAATGACCATTTCAATTGATTTGCTAATGGGGAATATGGCTGCTCATGATTGAGATATATAGGCGGGGTTTAGCCTGATATAAATGAGTCTGCTAGCCAGTCTCCCATTGGTACTGACGAAACTGAGTAAAACACGCTCATCGGTAAAACGCGTTGATGTCACACGTCTGTGACGTCATGGCTGGCCACACACATCAGCTTCACGCACCCAGTTCTGGTAGGGACACGGATTGCACCATTGCAAAATTTTGGCACTGACCAACTACCATGTGTACTCTCAAGGAGGCCTTGTGGTCATGTGGTCTCAGATAGTGCATAGCCTATGGGCTATACACTATCTGGATTGCAACAAGTGCCTTATTCACCACAATTTTTGACACAGGCATCTATATGTGGAATGTATGCAGTCACATGGTCATGAAGTATATTCTTTACTTCATATCTTCCCTAGCTGGGCTTCTATTTCCATGCCAATAGAGGTTATGCCCTTATAATTCTGATGATTGGTCTAAAGCAATATTGTAATTTCTCCATGATATATGTATCCACCCCTTGGTGGTGCACCCCGATATGTCTTGGCTGTGTGAGCAAAAGACCTTTGAGCTGTTCTCTCTGCAGCACAGTACAATTTATGTACCATGATGTAATTCTTTTTTATTTTTATTTTTTTGTTTTAGGTTGCCTTTTGCATTGTCGTTTATTGAGGTGATGGCTATCAGCAGTCTTTACTCAATTGTCTCATATTGCAATTTTGCTACTAAAAGCATATTTTGATTGTTTATATGAGTATCGCATTGTCTTGTATGTAATCGCTTTTTCTTGTGAATCCTTGTTCACATTATTTTTTTGTAGGCTTTTTTGGCTATTGGGCAATATTTTGTACTTTATGCGATACCTATTACTTTTAAAACCTCCATCTATATGGTTTTTGACTGAACAACTTAATTTGGACATTTTTTTTTTTTGCATGCTAGTCCCCATATAAAAAATGAAGAGGTTACTAAAGTTACGAAAATTCTTGTACGATAGAAGTAATGTAATGTATTTTTATTGTATTCTTGGACAAAAACTGTACTGATTAAACAAAAATCGTATGATCTGGTATCGTACAAAGATTTTATGCTTGTCCATTCGAATAATTTCAGACAAAAACTGTGTACTAATGATCAGATTAACATATGATCGCTTTAACCACCGCCCGCCCGCCCGCCATATAAGGAAATGACAGGCGGGCGCTGGTTCTGTCATTCTGGGAGGACGACATATGACGTCCTCCCACTCTAACTGTGCATGTGTGCCTCAGGGGGGTGCGCGGTGATCAGTGGTGTGCTGTGTCCCTGGGACACAGAGGATCACCAATCAGAGTAAAGAGCCGATAACTTCAGCTCTGTCAGTGCCCTGATGATCAGTTTAGCCCCAGCAGTGCCACCTGTCAGTACCCATCAATGCCACTTGTCAGTGCCCATCAATGCCACATACCAGTGCCAATCACTGCACATCAATGCCACATAAAAGGTGCCTACCAGTGCACATCAATGCCACATAAAATGTGCCTACCAGTGCACATCAATGCCACAAATCAGTGTCTATCAGAACTGCCTTTCAGTGTCAATTATCAGTGCCAATCAGTGCCACCTATAAGTGCCAGTCAGTATCACCTATCAGTGCTGCCAGTTAGTGTCACCTATCAGTGCCACCAGTCAGTGCTGCCTATCAGTGTCAGTCAGTGCCGCCTATCAGTGCCCATAAGTGCCGCCTATCAGTGCCCGTCAGTGCCACCTAACAGTTCCAATCAGTGCCGCCAAACAGTTGTAGTGAGTGCTGCCTATCAGTGCCGCCTATCAGTGTCATATATGAGTGCTGCCTTTCAGTACCCATCAGTGATGCCTGTCAATGCCGGCAAGTGATGCCTATCAATGCCCATCAGTGCCTCATAAGTGCCACATATCAGTGCCGATCAGTGTAGCCTATCAGTGCCCATCACTGCAGCCTCATTAACGCACATCAGTGAAGGAGAAAAATTACTTATTTACAAAATTGTATAACGGAAACTAAGAAAATACTTTTTTCACAATTTTCAGTATTTGTTAGTTTGTTTAGCAAAAAATAAAAAAACCCAGTGGTGATTAAATACCACCAAAAGAAAGCTCTCTGTCTCAAAAAAATTATAAAAGTTTGTTTGGGCACAGTGTTGCATGACCGCACAACTGTCATTCAAAGTGCAACAGTACTGAAAGCTGAAAATTGGCCTGGGCAGGAAGGAGTAAAAGTGCCTGGTAGGCAAGTGGTTAAAAGCAGTATTTTTCATACAATTTTTTGATTGTGTGTACTAGTCTTCACATGATGCAGAGAGAAACAATGTTCTGTCTGGTGATAGACAGATATTGTAAGCAGTGAGACTGTGTTTTTACTCTTTCACTAGCCAAATTATAACAATTTGTATGATTTCAGATCCCTACGTTTTTTGGTTGAAAGCAGTATTATAACCCACAAATGTGTGTTTAATACACTACAGAGTTTTTTTTAAAGCTTTCTTGCTTTTTTGTAAAGTAACCTTAATAGACATAAAACAGAACAGTGATCAGCCTCTGGTTTTCCACATACTTGCGATAACCTCCCATACAGCAAATAGACAGCTCACTTTCTAAAAATGGCTCAACAGTTTGAGACCTGTGATGGTAAGAATGTTGTGTTTTGGGATAGCAATGGACACAGTACAAGACTATGCATCACAGTCAGGAAATAGATTATTTAAAAAAAAAATTGTATTTGAATAGGTCCACATGTATGGTGTGTACATGTTCAGATGGATGTGCAGTATTTCTACTTTTACCAATTACAGTGTTTTTCCTTTCTTGAATCACTACATGGCAGAATATGAATGGGTAGACTTCACTCTCACTCCTACCCCATAGGACCTAGCCCCATGAATTTGAAGCTGATCCATCCTATGTGTTCTTTTGAAACCTCCACTGATTTGTCAGAGCAAACTACTTCCAAAACTTAGAGGCCCCGGCTGTAGCAATCATACATACAGAGATGGACGCGGTCCTCCATCTTGTTAAGGGTCTTCCATCTTCTATCATGTCCGACCCCCAAATCATCTTTCCTCATCCCCCCTCCCTCTCTGTCAAGTGACATGTTGTCTGTTTGATGCAGATCACAGGCAGCAAACTCATTGGTAGGGCGTCATGGTTACAAATCACACACTATCTGGTGCCCCTCTGTCTAGGAAACTCTTGCTAGTGAAGGGCTCGTCAAGCCATAAACCAAGTCCTTCACTGAGCTTCAAAAGACATTCCAGGGGGGTCGTAAAAACAGACTTACATTTAAAAACTCACTTTTTCATATAAGTTTATATCTTCAAATAGGACATAATTACATAAACATGGAGCACATATTCGGACGTCTCACTTTGAGACCGGTCTCCTGGTATATTACACCCCCTATCTGACATATACAGGAGAGCAGAAAATTATATCTCCTGAACCATTCAAACAGATATGTCATATTTCATATCTAACCATTCAGCAGAGTCGTCTGCATGTTAGTCTACTAGTGGCAAGGCTGCTAAATGCACCGAGAATAAGTTATGAACCATAATATGAGCTATGAGAGTTTTTGGTCATAGCTTGGGTCTCCACCTACAACTCCCTCCCCAAATGAGGCGATTGGTTTACTGCTCCAGGGAGACACCCTGTGGAGTTGCTAGAAAAAGCTAGGCTAAGCTGAGTTGTGAGAAGTTGAAGTTTTCCTTTTTTTAACATCGGAACTAAGGTTGGGAGATAAGGCATCCTTTTGGCTCATGAAACCTGATCTGCTTAAACAAGGACATTTGGCAAGTACTTTAACCCTCTAAACTCCTTTCTGTTATCTCTTTGCTGTGCTATTGTTTTCTGTATATTTATATATATTGGCTACATCTTTTTCTGTAAATATATTTATTGCACCCTTTTGACCTTTTAGTAATAAATCTTACTTTTTGAAAGTGTTGAACTGTTTCTACAGCTCTTTAATGCAAACTAAAGCACCCCTGTCTCTGAAGAACGCTTCTGTGTGTTTTAAATGTCTGCATACATCTGTCTGCGGTGACATTGTGTATACAAATGATTATTCAAATATCATAGTGTTATTGCTGATATTGCCGAGTTTCCTCTTTCTCTGTACAAAAAGGAGGTGGCGGCAGTGTGAAGGGTTAAGTGCGTAATTAACCTAACCCAGTAAGAATCGCTCTCAGGCTGCAGATACACAGATTGTGGTCCAGTAGCTGGAAAATCTGTGTGCAGGGTGCAGCTGAGAGTGGCATTGTTACGCACATGACAGCGCAGATTTAGATTGGCTAGTCCTTCGGTCACGAGTTTGGTGAGAAGGGCTGGGGTCTGCGACGCCGCGATCGTCACACAGGCCACTTGTGAAAAGCTCCCCATATTGTAATTGTAAGGAGATGCAAACAGATCTAACTCTGGAATCCTGCACAGAGACAGAATCAACTTGAAGGGGCCCTGATATAGGTACCAGTCATTGTCAAATTTTGACATAAAATAGGGAGTCCTCCTCAGAGTTATGAACCCCAGAAAGGTAGATTGCTGAAATATTGGAGGAATTCCTTTCTGCCCAGGTCACAGTAGCTCATTGCTGAGGACTAAGGCAGGTTTATGAACTACAATTGCAGACAGATATACCTTCCAAGGTTAACATCAATGCAGTGATTGAGTACCTACTAGAACACAGCATCTTCAAATGATGAAAATATGTGTCAGACCAATCTCATAAGGGTCACATTAACAAAAGTAGTGACTTGCTGGACACCTTCTTCTTTAAAAGGGCATACTTTTGAAATTCTGCTCTGAAAATTTTTTTTAGTTTGATGCTGTTCTATTTTCCCCTTTAGGAGGTGCTTTAAATAATTCCACTTCTTTGCCAGTAACTCAAATACAGTATCTTCCATTTTTTAAATTAATTTTTGATAGCCTTAAAAAGGGGGATACAAGTTCAAAATGTAAACCTACATATGGGTCATCATCATCTGTATTTTTGAAAATACCTGCAGAGGGTTGATTGGTACAAGAAGGCTCTGAGACTGGTTAACTGGTTTTGGAAGGAAAACTGAATGTTGCCAGAGTAGATTCATTTTGCATATTGTGGAAACAAACTCCTTTACAGTGTCTTGACCACTTGCTAAATGGGGGGATGAGGTGATCATCTTCTTCATCTCTGGCTGCTTGAACAAGACAGGATTCATAATAGCTTTTGCCTGCTAAGGCACAAATGTTAAAGGCCCAGTTTAGGGTGAGCACAATGTGTGCAGATAAGAAGAGTCTAAATGGCAAAGAGCCCATTAGTCAGCTTCCCACATGCTGGAAAGAAAAATTCGTATCTGAAAGATGCTTCTCACCTTCTTGCAATAGTTGGCCACAAAAATGAGGTGACATATTCATGGCTCAAGACAGTAAGCAAACATTTTTTGCAGAAAACTTACAGAAAGAAATATAAGAAGGCAAAGAGTGTACAACTTTAAAACAGAATGACTGATGATTCAAGTAAAAAATATCAATAAAGAAGGCACTGGCTCCCACCAGCTACTAACTTGCATCAGAGCAGTCATAGCACAGACAGATTAAATTGTGGGCTGCACAAGGATTTGTCACTGAAAAAAACATATACTGTTTCTGTGTCACACATAGATATTGGGCAAGTTTCAAGAAATACTCCACATTGTTAAAAAAATAATATAATACTTACAATTTCTACTCAAGCCATATAGTTATTTATTGTTATTAAAAATTATTTTTCCATTTCAGTCTGGAAAGAATATGATAAAACAAACAGTTATTTGTTGAGAACAGAAAAAAAATGTTGGAATCTGCAAAATAAAATGATAAAACCCAGCAATGCACATAGATCACCCAGAGGGGGTTGTAGCCCACAGGCCCACTGAGTAAGAGCCTTTAGCTCATCCCCAAGCCACTATGGAACTTATGAAGTGCTACAGTGGTCATATTGGGCTTCAATAGAACCAGGGAAGTCTTAACTAAAGGAAATCAGATGCAAAGGCCTGCACAGTCAATGGCAATAGAAGGCACTAATATCAAGTTGTACCTACATACCAGAAAAAAGAGCTATGATTGCACTCTTGTGAATAGACCTGCATCTTAACCAGGTCATAATCTCAAACACCAGCCACATAACCCACGCAAATAGCTTCTTCCTTCTATTCTGAAATATAATTGTAGGTTAATTGGTTCCATCTAAAATTGTAAATATAATTAGAGACAAGAATGGGTTTTGAGGCAACCCCAAACTTTTCACAGTTCATGGTCCAGTTGAACTTGCCTGCCTGCATTAATTTTAGGGTAATGCACTGTGAGGGCATTTGAACTTTGATCAGCTGGCTTAGACTGGCCAATAAAGGCCAGCTTACTGCACATATTGCTATCCTCTATTTTTCACCTGTTGTGTTCTAGCTTTGTTGAATGATCTTTTAGTGCAATATATAAAAGACTGTTGCCCGTTTTAATAATCTTGTACATTTTAATTACACTCCTGCATTTTTCATTCCTAGCTCTTCTTTGCTAGTGTTTACATCTGCAGCTCATACCCCTAGACATTTGTGCATTTGTATTATGTCAGGGATATTAACTTTAGTCATCTTGCATACTTGGGACACTTCTCTCTATGCATATTCAAACACTGCTTACTATTTGTGTTTGCTCTGCTTTTGTAGATAAGTATTAGGTTGAATTTGTATTACAGCTATTTTAACATACTGTTTTTTTTTTAAATATTTGTTCAGGGAAAGAAATTCCTGCCTGTCCTGTCTATACAATAAATTCTCCAACTCATAATTGTGTTGTTTCTCAAAGATATTTTTCAAAATTTTGTTTGTTGACATAGAACCCAGGGGAGCTTTTCATCCTTAGTATAAGCAATATATATTTTTGTTTTTTTCCTAAAAAGAGGTGATGAAATCTTAGCCAGGATAATACCACTTTGTTTTAATGTTATTGGTTAATTGCTAATATTCTTGGTATGCTATCACACCCTTTCCCATGGTAAACTTACACCAGATCAATTCAAAAATGGTTCTGTATATTAGTGATCCACTTATTAGAATTAAAAAAAAAAAAAAA